CTGACGTTTTATCTGCTAAATGAGTCATAATTCCACCGTGTCATGGCAGTATCTGCATCATTGAAGTACTGTATTTAAGTAACCGAGTGAAGCAGACGTCTTCTTGAGAAGCTGATAGTCACTTAGCTACTCAAATTCCTTGTCTATTACTGAACTCGAAGCTTGATCACCGCATTTATTAGAGGCCGCCACTGTACCCTGTCCTGATCAGGTTCACAAACTCCCACCTTATTTCTCTAAGATCTGTTTTAAGGTTATTCAGTATAAGCCATGAATTAGAATCGGTCTCTTCTCATCAGATCTTCCGACCAAAATAATGCACATTTACGCATTTCCGATCGCTTTCGTGCGTGCTACATGTATGTCCATCTAATCCTTCTTGTTATTATAACCCTAATCATGTTTTGAACGATGATAGTGTCTACGGGGCTTAAGTCGCATCTCGTCTTCGACCGCTTGAACACTGATATCGTGCTTTAGATTCTCGCCCTGGACATGGGGTTGTGTCCGCATTTCTGTGTTTTTGTTGTCCTTTGTAACTAGAAGTCTTGCAATGGGTCCATCCCTCGTCCAAGGATTCCAAACAGATGTTTAGAATATTCAGTCAGTACTAAACTGGAACACGATGGACCCGATCCATAAAAGCCGAAGAAGAAGAAGAAGAAGAATGTTTGGTGAAGAGTAGGAATGCAACGTATATAATTATGTAATTTTCTCTCAGCCTTTTTGCCACTTCCTCTTTCCTGGCGCAAATATGCTTTTCAGCACCCAGTTCTCAACTCATCTTCTAGTCTTCGTTAGAGAGACCAAGTTTCACACCCATAAAAGCCTACCGGTATAATTATAGCTTTATATGTTTTAATATATACTTTTTTAGATATAAGGTGAGATTATGAAAATGGGGATGTGGAGGGGCTATACACAAGGGAGGAGAAAACTCCAAAACGAGAAGACACAGCTATATTAAATAAAATGGACCAAATGAGAAAGTTGGTTCACAGATTACTTGCTCTGTTGATGTGCTCATTGCCTGGCCCTCTGTTTGCCCCCTGTTACCTTATTAGATTGGGCTGTGCGTTACACATAAACTGTTTTTTACCGAAAATTACATCTGTCCTAATTAAAAGATCGTCCAGTGCTTAGGACGTAATGAAGAATATTTGTGTAGGAGTGAAACTCTTTGGTAGACAGAATGGACTGTGTATAATTAGGCTACAAAAAGCGAATACCCAAGTCAGACGTGGGTTAGCGTTCATGAGAAATAAAGGCTTTCTTCATTTCACCCTATGCATGACGTAATTTAAATGGACAGTTGAGGAGGTCTCTGCTGGACTCTTAACCTCTCATGATCCCTAGGTCAACGAGTTTCTCTGTTACGTGACCTGAAGGTCGTGGGCACGATGGGCGAAGCCTCTAACCATGGAGTGTTTGTGGACACCAACAGTGTGGGTAACAAAATATATTCACATGCTGAAGAGGCTTTTAGGTTACAGTCTGCGATATGTGGAAATTACAGTCATTCATAGGTCACAGCCACCAAACAAAAATATTTGATATGATTTTCATATGCTATCTCGCTTTTCCCCAAACTTGGCCCTAATAAAATAATTTTTTAAAATAGATGGGACTATTTTAAATAAATTTCAAGAACGGACATTGAATGTTGTTCCCACCTCACAAGCTCACATGGCCACCATGGTGGTATTGTATGAGTAAGTAAATGATGAAAGTTTGAAAGGACCAGTGGGACATGATATCTGATGACAATATCTTCCTAGTTTCACAAGAATCAGTTAGTTAATGCATGAAATATTTGCAGGAAATTCATTAATAGGTTTCCTTGGCGCATCCAACTCTCCCACGGCGAATTTTATGAATCTCAGACACCTGCTGTTAAATTTTGAAGCACATAGTTTTCCTTTACTCATATGCTAGTAGTAGTTCCAGAAATATTGTTTTAAATTATTATGAAATTTTGTAAAACTCAATTTGTTTCAGACAGACTACATAGTTGTCTGAAGCTATTATGTACTTATTACTGCACTTATAAGAAGGGCAATAAAACAGACCAGTAGTTGTTGCCAACTGCAAAACCCAATTTTATCCAGCATTTTTCTCTCAAGGTGAAGGGGATCACCAGAATTCACTGGACCACTGCATTCATTCAGTGAAAGAGAGAATGAAAGAAGTATGTTTCATTGATGGTGCATTCGACAGTGAATTGAATCAGACAGAGAAAAATGACGGAGTTCTCGGATATATTTTACAGGTCATTGTTTTCTGAGCAAAAAATAATTTGGCACTCGGGGATTCCAATGATAAATAAGTCTGACTGCTGGGGTAAATCTTGATATTATGGGACTAATCAGTAACAACAATATTGCCTTGAAGGAAGTGAGTTCAAAGCACAGCACTGGTTCTGTGAATTACTTGCCTAAAAGATCCAAAATTAGTGTACTGGCATCCTGGACAAGAAAGTCTGAGCAGAAATTATTTCTGAATCATGAGAAAAGCATTGTGACTAATATTTACCTACACACCTGTCATTATTATTTGACTGTAGGTCCCCCATATGTTGTCAACGAAGACCGGTTGAGTCAAATAATTTAGTATATTAATGTATAAGAGAGTTTTATAGACTTCACTCATGCTTATGAAGAGACTGGTAGTGGACTGGCATCACAAGTTCTTCATAAATTGCTGTAGGATGAGACTGATATAAAAATGCAAGAGGCCAAGGCTGTGAGAATGCAAAAAAAAAAGTCTCGGTAAGTGCAGCAGAGTGCAAGCAAACATTCATCAGAAAAACGAATTTGCCAAAAGTGTACCATGTCCGGCACACGGTCTTAACTAGAAGGTCTAAATGCAGCTTCTCTTAATAATGCGGTTCTCGCATTTTTAAAAATAGTACATATTCAAAAATTGTTGAAAAAGTGTCACAGGTGATGAGTAATTAGGTCATCTGTTCACATTTCTGGCTGCTTTATAACTTCTCCAAAGTGTTTTCATAGCACATCGTATCATGAATGTATTATACAGAAATTTTCTCATTACATTACTAAACTACAACATAAGGGCTATTTTTTCTATATGGTAAATATTTAAGAATGTAAACATGGGCAATATTTGGGAATTCGAATGATACGATAACCCAAATTGGTAGATTCTCCTTTATCATGGAGAGGAGGTTTGTACACCACAGCGACCTGGAAAGCTATGCTGACGGTAGCATAAGCTCCTGGTAGAGCCACTAATGTTATACGTGTCAAAGGTTAGGGGCCAGATGAAGTGTAGTCCTTGGTCCTCCAGGGTGGTGGTTGGACAACCCCACCTCGGAAAAAAATTGTTGCTAAAAACATCCAGAGCCTGTGGAGGAGGCCAGGACCCACACAAGGTTTTAGCTCCAGTAAAGAAGAAGAAGAAGAAATTGATGAATATTGTCACATGTATGAAGCGTGACTATAAATGAGTTTTGGATTAATGACCGGATTTATCCGACTCTTTGATACAGCTCATGGCTACACTTTTACAGTTCACTATTAAACACACACACTAGTGTCCACGGTGATGCCTTTACTGCCGTTGTTTGGTAGCGTCTTTCAGCGGTGGATGTTCCCCTTCCTCTGGGTTCCCAAACTGTCCCCGGCCTCAGCTACCAGCTTCTAACAGCAACAGTTCACAATGACTGAATGCCAGTAGTTCTCTAAGTATTTTTTTATTGCTAGTGAAGTGGGACTAAGTCTCTTGTACTGCGGCCACTTCTGGCCTATTGTACCAGCCCCAGATGATAGGTGAGGGTTATTGTGGAGCAATAGGTGGAATGGAGATTGGCAGGGGAAACCGAAGTACTCGGAGAAAACCTGCCCCAGCACCACTTTGTCCACCACAAATCCCACTTGACCAGACCCGAGATTGAACCCGGGCCGCCTCGGTGGGAAGCCAGCGACTAACCTCTTGAGCTATAGCGCCCAGTTCATTAACTAACTGCAGCTAAAAATCAAAGTCAAAGTCACATTGCGACTGACGGTTAGTCGGTCAGTAAGTCTTGGTAGCGAGCCCCATCTGGGGCTCATTACCAGATACATATTAATCTTTGATAGTTACTATCTTGTTTTTGTGGGGCGCCCTCTTTGATGAGAGGACGGATTTGTCTCTTATATATGCTACTGGCTCTTGCCAACGCAGTCTTCCTCGGGCCCGAGTCCCTTGGGACTCATGACCATATTTTACTGTCTCAGATTTGAGACTTCCGTTTTTGTCACCTCCTACGACTCTAAGAGTCACGGTGGAGGCATTCGACCCCGCATCCACACGGGTCGACTTTTAACTGCAGCTGCTAACTGGTCCAGGATATAACACCTCGGCACAGACCGCATAGAAAACGTCACTTCAATTGATGCTATGTTCTATTGTTGTGGATATGTGCTTGTTTAAAAAGCCGTTACTTAACAATGGCTGTTGTATATTTGCTTATTTTGCAGTTGCCTAGCAACGGTCTACATGTCACAATATGATCAAAATATATTGTTTTAGCTCTATTGTAATGCTTTGCCTACTACATAGTAAAATATGCTGTGTATTGGCAAAAGTTAACATACAGTACAGTACAGTAAAGTGAAAGTGAAGAGCATTTACATTAACTGGTCGGGATACAGTAAATTTAGATGGCGCGAGAAAGGAATAAAATATCAGTAGCAATTCAATAAGTAATATAGTAGATACTGCCTATGTTGGCAAATCTTGATGACAATGGATATGGAACTGAATTATTTTACAACATTTTCTGATAAATAATGTTTATTTCTCTTTGCATATTGTGTTTACAATATAGATTTTTTTTCAACTTTGTATGCCTTTGTATATCTGTACTTTCAGAAGTGACCAAGACTATACTGCCATATATACTCCACTTTTAATTTTCGACTGAGATGTTTCCATTAAAAGCTGAGAGGTTTACCCAATTAAAATTAATGTATAAAAAATGCACTATTTTGTTTCAGCCAACAAATCGTCCTGCGGATGCACCAGCAGACAACGAGGGCATTGTCAAATTTGGATGGATAAAAGGCGTCTTGGTGCGCAACCTTCTCAACATATGGGGTGTAATGCTATTCCTTCGCCTGTCCTGGGTTGTTGCCCAGGCTGGCATTGGTAAGTTCTTTTATCAATATGAAGAGTGTAACATCCGTATTTGTTTCTCCTCAGTGAGCTGATAGAAGTAAATGTTGACCAGCCCAATAGTACATCATAATGTTATTAAGCTGTATTTCTTGATTTCAGTACTTGTAAAAGCCATAGAGCTCTGAAATATGCTCATCCTCTTACCATGTCATTTACAAAAACTGATGATTAGTATAAAAATATTTGTATGAGTTATAGTTTGAGACCAGGTAGCTATGAAGAGGTTTCAGAAGAGGCCTAAGCCAGTAGACAGAAGAAAAATGGGAAGGAGCAGATTGAGATGGTTGGAGAGAATAATATTGAGAGCTGCAGGCAAAAGGCAAATAATGGAGAAGAATGGTCATCTGTCAAGTTGTATTAATGCTTGATTCTCGTTCATTGCTTGCTTGGCTTTCTCTTTGACCTTCAAAATGCGGGCAGTATATTCCTCTGAATTGCTGACTAACTTCTGTTGAACCTATTGAAGTGCATTGCATACATCCCAGAAGAAAGTTCTCTCCTAGGAGTCATTCATTTCATGGCATATAATTTCTCTTTTGTCAGAGTATGCCACAGTTGCCTGGAATAACCCTGCATTGGTAAATGCCAGTAAACTTGAAAATGTACCGACAAAATCTGAAAATTTATGTTATAGTTCATTTCATCGATCCGACATTTCTTGAAATTATGATCTTGATCTGGAATGTTTGAAGTTAACCTTTTATTGTAGGTGAAGGCATCTTGATGCTTTATTTATTATTCGTGTTTAAAGGACAAATAACTGTCCCTCTGCTGTGGCACTGTTCTCATGTACCAACTAAATTAATTAGGGACTTCTCCATTTTTGCTGTAGGCAGTAACACAAAGCCCAGCCTTTCAAGTCAGATTTGCCATTGCTATAAATTGTAGATATACATTTTTTATGTTTTTAGAAAGAACACAGTGTTGCGGAGGCTATTTCCTTTATACAAACTTAGTTTACTGTTATGTTATATTTTCTTTCTTTCTTTATTTTCTTCCCTTTTTTAAGAGTATCATGCATTTTAAAGCACAGTGCTTATTGTATACCATATGTTTAAGCATAAAGAATTGTAGTTCATTTTCCAGCAGCGTATTGGTACTTTAAATATAGGTTAGCGACTACTGTATTTTGCTACTGAATATCGTTTTGGTTCTGAGATAATTTACATAGAGAACCATGACTAATTTATTTAGATATGTGCAAAGTAAACATTTTTAAAATGTTTAATTCATTAGTTTGAAAATTGTGGTCTTTATTTAAAAACTAAAATTAACTTCCTGAAACTTAAACACGTTTAAGACAACAATCCATGATGCTGGTCTGCATAATGTAAGATCTGAGTTTTATGCATTGGTTAAGATTTATATTGTGGTCTTCTTGGATATAACACCACATGGTATGGTAAGTATGTACTAACGATTTGGAAGAACATGCAGTGCTTGTCTTCAGGGTTTAAGGTGTGAAAGGTATGATTTCTTTAGAAGAAAGGAGAACAGAACTGGGCCGTGGAAAATATGAGTGGCCAATTAGAACTATGAATGAGGAGAAGCAGGAAGGGGCCCAGACAGACAAATGGGAAATGGTAAATCATGACAAATAACATTACTCCAGGGCAGAAGGAAGGAAAATCCTTTTGGAATGTGCAGAAGGAAAATCAAGAAACTGCCCTTTCACTCACTCACTCACTCACTCACTCACATGCGCGTGCCCGCACACACTGGATTTTAGGTTCTTCTATTGGTGGCTATGAAGAGTGCTGTCACGTGTTGGGTATGTAACATGACAAATAACTTAATGCCGTTTTGGATGTAGAGAATTTATTGAACACTCGCTCTCACACTCACCCAATTCACAATTACAAATACTGCCATCAGCAGTATCACAATTACATCCACTGCTCTCGGCGACTGCTAGACTTCTGCTGCACTCGGCGACTTCACGATCTGCACTGTGTCACTCCTGATCACACGATCACACACTCTCACATACTGCTCAGCTGGCTTTTTATACCGTTCCCTGTTGACTGTGTCAACAGCGGTATCCCCTGTTACGTCACAGTGGGAAGTGCTGTTACGTCACTGCGGGGGAGGGGGCGGAGTGTTGACTGGCCTGTTACTGCAGCAGCGACAGCGCTCCGATGCTGTTATGTCACCACTGGTGGGGGGAGGGGGTGCCTGCATAGCGCAAATACGTCACAGTACTATTTTCTGGGATAAGATGCCGTTGTGGTCTACTAGACATTTATCGAAGTTTAAGAGGAATGTACTGCTTGTTGCCTGCCTGGCATACTCTCCATACCTAACCCTTTGAAACGTCAGTAAACTTTTACCAAACTACACACTGTCACATCCCAGAAGTTAGTATTCTACACATATATTTAGGATTTAAGGTTCTCACAGTGGTGGTTATGAAGAGTTATCTCTTCTGGAATGTAACACCATATAGTCCATTGAAAGATGGAGGTATCATGTCTGGACTACATGGTGTTATATCCCAGAAACTAGAACTCTACACATGTTTGTTTGCAGTTTTCACTGTCCTTGGGTCAAAGAAATTTCTGTGATGCTTTTATATTGATTCCAGGCCAAGGATTGTTGCTAATCCTTGCAACCAGTATTGTAACGTCAATCACTGCTCTGTCCATGTCAGCTATCAGTACAAATGGGGTCATAAAAGGAGGTAAGCAGTATGTAATCAAGGTTCATGTCAGATGAACTTATTTATTTAATTGAAATCCCTCATTAAATTCATCTTGGTGTGTTTGATACTGACTGACATGTATCAAAGATATTTTTTAGGCATTTCTATGACACTCTTTCATAGTTTTATAATAATTTCTTTGTTCATCAGAAGATGTGTGCCTTTCACAAGTCCAACTATTTATACCATCTCAATCTGTCCAATTTTCTAACATTCCTGTAAGTACTGTCATGTCTTTTATTATGTGTCCTCTGCACCAGGAACTTATTTTTATTTTAAGTAATCATTCTTGGAAGAGCTAGGTAACTCGGTCAATGTAGTGACTAGGCTATGGGCTGGATTTCCATTCCTGGGAAGGAGAAATATATTTCTCCTTACCACATCCATACCTTTTCTAGGGCCCACCCAGTCTTCTGCTGGTTAGTTGGGTAAAGTGGCTGTGGTGTGAAGCTAACTGCTAGCCTCCGTCTAGTGCTGAGATTAAGAATATGTGGAGCTGTATGTCCACTGCCCATATGCTTTCATGGCATACTACATAATTAAGCATACAGATATTTTTTTTTTTTTATTTTTGGCTGTAACATTAGCAATGCCCATAAGCCTGTCTGAATACTTTCTCTAAATGTTTGCTGACTCTTTTTAAAGTAAGTTGACTCAGGATCAGTTTTCCCAATCTTCATTCTTTAATGGCTGTGCCCTGAGCTATATGGTGATAAAACCACTTAGAACTGTATAGTGAAATTTTCCTGTGCTCTTATATGTAATATAAATTTTAAAAATAGTTTTCACATTGAGGAATTTATTTTGGATATTACAATAAGTGATTGAATGTTGCACTTATGAATAATACTTATACTTATTACAGTGAAGATAATTTTCTTATTCAAACATATAAAATGGAAATTTTATTCATCATATCTCCATTTGTGCTAAAACCATTAATCCTGTCAATGTGGATGAAGAAAGTGTCACTCACCTATAAGTCATTTAATCACCTGGTGGTGAAATATTATATTTGGAAATCATGTTGCATTAGTTTGTATGTATAGTTGTAATTCTTTCTGTAAATTCCCTCAGAACAAGATTTTTGTATTTTGTTATCATTCTGTAATTTTTGTGGAACACTTCCATCCATATTCACAGCATATTTTTCCTCATGGTGAAAGTATTCTTTACATAACAGCATTTACACAACGTTGATCTTGTGACGTGACGTGCAGTTAATATTCAATAGGTTTGCGTGTTTTCGATTTATTGTCATTATACAGAACATATGTCTTGAAAGAAAATATGTGATTTATTAATTTTACAGGTGGTACATATTACATGATCTCTCGATCATTGGGACCTGAATTTGGTGGTTCTATTGGCCTTATCTTCTCACTAGCCAATGCAGTTGCCTGTGCCATGTATGTAGTGGGCTTCTGTGAGTCCCTAACAGATTTACTGACAACATATGATCTCCAGATAGTGGATGGTGGGATCAATGATATGCGGATCATGGGATCTATCACAATTATGGCTCTCCTCTGCATTGTTGTTGTTGGAATGGAATGGGAGGCTAAGGTAATAACACTGTTCATAATATTAAATAGTTTGCTGTTTTAAACATAGAGCACAGAGGAAACTGCTTTGTATCATTGACAGACGTTTTTGTGGAGGGATAGTGCAGCCTTAGCTGTGTTCTGTTGTCATGTATCAGGGCATCTTTTTTAATGTATTTTATGAAGTAGACTTTTATAACTTCTTTGATTTGATGTAGTTAGAGCTTTACTACCTGCATCAGAGGGATAAGGAATTGGATAATAGGGATGTTGGTGAAGTGTGGTTCTGGCTACATTTGTACAGCTGAGTTAAAATTATACAGTTCATAATGTAAGCATACACATTGTAGGTAATATGTATGTTATGGCTGTGTGATGCATTATTTGTCCCTTTTCACATTACCATTGCTAGCCAAAATCAGAATTAATTAAGAAGACAAACAAGAGGAACTAACATTTTTCAGAAAGCACATAGGTAGGTGCTTGATATTTACATCAGCAAAGGAAGTCAGACTGAGAAACTACATCCTCCACTACCTAAAATGTGCATATGCAGAGCTCTGCCATGGATGTAGCTACATCAGACAAGTTATGCCAGACAGTACATGGAAGTCCATACTATAGTTCAGCTGTTAATTGAAAAAAAAATCTTGAAACATAAACAGCTTTTTGATTGTTTGATGTTTGATCTGTTACTTGACTGTGTGTACCCATAAATTTCTGTACCTGTAATTCAAAAAGAGGGCTGGAGTTATCTCATAATTAACATACTGAGTTATAACAAAAAGAAATTAGGTTTCATACTTGGCCATTTTTAGAGGGATTTGCGATGAGTACTGGGTGAACTACACATATCATTCATTCCACAATATTCTCATTTCTACTTTCCATCTTCAATATTATTTATTCCAGTCTTGTTTAATTTGAGGTTCTCATAGCAGTGGTTATGAAGGTACAGGTATTTCTCGATTCACGAAGATAATTCATTCTGTGAAAACTCTTCATAAGGAGGATATTCGTAAATCAGAAGTGAATTTTGCAATACTTTAAATGTAAAAGTTACCAAATTTATGATTATAAGTTGTTCATTATAGTGAATGTGAAGTTTGTTAAGTAAAAAATAGGTACAAATTAACATGTTTTCTTGTACTGGCAATTTAGAAATCAGGTGTTTGTAAAATGAGGGATACTTGGGATATAATGCTATGCAGTCTGATACAAGTTAGCCAACATTTGGAGTAATCCATTGCATTCATCTTTAGTGTCAGAGAGTGAGTCCAGCAAGAGCAGCCAGCCAATATAGCTCTGAAATGCCAGTGCATTCCTATTGGACTGCAGTGTTGCATCCCAGAAGATACTACTTTTTATATTTTAGCCTCTGTTGTCAGGTAGCTGAACATCATTCAGTTAATAGGTATGAAGCAGTGTAGGGCGAGATTAAAGTTTTTGCAGTGGTCACTATGGAAATTATTGTCTTATGATGTGTGATGCCATGTAATCTGGTACATTATACCAGTGTTTTGGTGAAAGAGTCTCTTCTTCCCTGAAGTTGAAAGCAGCAGCTTCCTCCAGAATGTTGGTAATTATCAGTCAGATTATACATCACTTCTCAGATGGCATTGATCTTGATATAAGTTAATTTTAATGGAATATTCTTTAATGTAATTTTGTGTCCACCATTTATATTGGTGGGACCAAGAAAGGCAGCAGATCACAAAAATACATTACTCATTAATTTTATGGGCTTCATTTGCAGAATGTATGAAAAGCATGGTACAATACAATATAACATACTAGCAGGGGGATAGGGTGTCCATCATCAGCAACGTTCACTATAACTAAGTGAAAGGAATATTCATGGAAGTACACCATAGGATCTGGGGTAGCATTGTTGGTATAGTGACTGGCTATGGGCTGGATGACCAAGGGTTTGGAGTTCAAGTCCTGGTAGGGTCAAGTATTTTCTCTTCTCCATGTTGTCCAGATCGGCTCTGGGGTTCACCCAAACTCCTATCCAATGGGTACCAGGGGCTTTTTCCCTGGTGGTAAAGCGGCCGGGGCGTGAAGCTGACCACAAACCCCCAACTAGTGTCAAGGTCAAGAAAATGTGGATATATACATCCACTCCTTCACATGCCTTCATGGCATAGTGCTTAATTAGTTAAGCATGGAGACAACTTTACCTTATGTAAGATTTGAGGCTCTCACGGTGGTGACTATGAAGTCTGATTTTACCGGTTCTCACGGTCTCTTCGCTTGCAGATTTCTTATATTTTCCCTTCTACCCTGAAGATGGAGGCGATACGTTCCTCCAAAACGTCGGTTAACACCACATATACACGGTGCCAAATCCCAGAAGACTGCTTTCTTCAACTTTACCTTACCTTTACACCATAGGATATGTAGCCAATATATGCAGTAAATGTAAAAAACACAATGTGATTGCATAAATTTGATTTGTTTCATTCTGGTCCATCACACTAACAATATCAAGAAAAGTTAAACAGTTCCATCTAGTGTGACTGGTGAAGATTTTTCTTAGTATTGATGTATTGATATAAAGGTGTCCCTCTGATGATGGTCTCTGAAGTCCGAAACATGTAAGGGCATAAATAATTGAAATAAGTACAATCTTCACCAGTCACACTAGATGGAACTGTTTAACTTTTCATGACTGCATAAAGGTTTTTATATTGCGTTTCTTCTTTTTTTAATGGTTTTCATGCTGCAAAACATTCTTAGTGCCTCAGTGTCTTTAAAGATTCACAATTGTGCAGGGCCAGATCTTTCCTGTTATATCTGAAATATGATATATTTGGGTCCAATATAACGAGGGCCCAGGGTACTGTACTCAGTGTTGGTGTGATCAGCCAGTGACAAACCTTACAAAAATTTCTATACTTGATGGCATGTGATACCTGTTGGCACATCATTTAAACTATGCATTCAGATAGTTACCTACAAGAGAAGAGCAGCTCCAACAAACCAAATTGGTCGCTTGACAGTGGAGAAGTTACTGGCACTCCTGTGGTTAACTCATGAAGAAAATGCATTATTTTTCCAATCACTGTAATTGTTTTCATCAGTTTCTGGACAGTCATTAATGAAAATAAAGTTATTTAATTTTGTGTCTGCAGGCTCAGCTGGGTCTTCTTGTGATTCTTCTTATGGCAATAGTTGATTTTATGATTGGAACCTTCATAGGTCCCCAGAATGATGAAGCCCAGGCTAAGGGATTCATTGGATATGACCGTATGTAAATGAAGATTTGTTTTGAATAATATAGGATATATGAACTGTATCATCATTGGAAAAGATTCTGCTTAGTAATATCATTTCCAGATGTTCTTAATATATATGGTAACTCATATTATGTCTCCAGTTTGGTTTTCACACCATTTAGAACTCAAAGAAATGCATTTGGATTTGTGTTGTTAGTGGCACTTAATTTACATGCATTCAAAATTTATAATTTTCTGTTACTTTTAAAGAATGTTCAAACTTTGTTATGTGACGATAAACAACAAACAAGTTTGTGTTGTTTAGCTTACTAAATGCACTAATGGATAGACCGTTTACATTGCATAATGCAGCAGTTCTGAACCTTTTCAGTCAATTTACCAGTTACGTCAGTGTGAAGCTTCACATACCTTTTTCAGTGGAAACTTTATTTTTGTCCCAAACTCTGTATTATTTCACATTAAAAACACATCAAGATACAGAGGAGTGTTCATTTTAAACAAACTCTGTTTCATCCATGCACACAAAATGTTGTATAGAATAAAGTTGTGTGGGTGTTTAGGCTCTTTTTGCCAAAATTTTACGGTGTATGATGCATATATCACATGCACCTTAGGAGCCTTCATGTGCCCCTTGGGGAACTTTCACATACCCCTGTATGCCTGGTTCAGGACTGCTGACTTAATTAATTCTATGCTGATTTGTTATGCAAGCTTATTTCTTTCTTTTATTTTATTTTTTACAATGAGCAGTATGTAAATGAGAAGTATTAATTTTCAAGTTTGGGATTTTCCTTCTGTTATTGTCCATTTAAACCATGACCAATTTACCTGACTCATGTTTCTTGTGGTTTCTCTCAACTTGCCCAGCTGAATGCTAGGCTAGCAGCTTAACCTCCATCAGTGCCTTGCACAATTGCGCTGTCACATGCACTGGTTAGGCAGGCCCAGTGTCACATTGTTTACAATATAGATCCCATTACTGCAAAGTTTAAGTTTTGCCACCACTGCCATATTAGCAGGAGACTTAAATCTAGTTAATAAAAGTTTAAATAAGTCATAACTGACTCTGCAACTCTTTATTTGCTCAGTATTCATTCATATTCATCATCCCATCTCTTTCACCACTGTAAATGTCTGCAACTGAAGCAGTATTATCAAATAATCTAAGGATCAGTCAAACAGTTAATCGGTCATTTCCTTTGATCATGCCGCTACCAAAACTATTGTGTGCAATGCATGTGCAGCAGCTGAATATTCCTTTCGAAATCTGCAGGTCATGGCTTCATCACATCTGCAATATTTCTACATGTAGAATGTGAATATATGGCAATATTATCATAGATATAAAACAGAAGTGAGATGAAAGCTGTGTAGCATATTTTTATTGGAAAAAAATCAAGATTAAGAGACACAGGTTTCAAATAACAGCTTTTGACTCCAGGTTTTTAATGTTGCTGCAACTCACAAGTTTTTACTGGACTAAATTATCAATCTGGATGTTAAAATATTAGTTATAGAACAGTTATTTTGAAATGATTCACGTGGTATCGTAGTTGGTTGAGGCACTATGCTACAAGCCGGAAGGTCGTGGGTTCAAGTCCTGATGAGGTCATTACATTTTTTCAATTGACCTAATCCTTCTGGCCGCACTATGGCCCTGGGGTCGACTCAGCCTCTAACAGAAATGAGTACCAGGCATTAATGAAATAATTTTCCTGGGGAGTAAAGCATGGCCAGCATGTAAGGCTGACAACCTTCCCTCCATCTTTGAGCCGATTGTCTAGATAGTGTGGGACCCTCAGTGTCGCACAACCCTATGGGCCTTCATGGCCTGTTACAGGGATAGCTCTGCTTTTGCTTTTACTTACTTATAGAGCTAACATAATTGATTAAACTGTAGAATTTAATGTTGCTGCTCACTTGAAAATAGGGCAATTCTGCATGTCCATGTCTGCTACAGTTAGGCTGGCCAGAAATAGTCTTATGCTAGCTAATTACAAGTGTTCTATATTTTGATCTCCTTTTCAGAGAGAAAATAATGTGAGGAATATGTAGAAGCCATAAAGAGTCATTGAGAAAATATGTCCATGCTTGCTTTTGTAGTGCTGGGTTGGTGTGGTTGCAGAGTATTTCTTGATGTGGGTGCTGCCTAGCTTAGGGATTTGTGACAGCCATGTTGGATGGTGTCAGATGCTGTGTGGGTAGCTTAAGGCCAGTCTCTTTGGGGGTTATATTTAACACACTGGGGTGGGGATTTGGGGTTAGTGTACACTGATGTCATTTTGGTGATAAGGTGATAAGCAGTTCATAATGAAATGCAGAACTGTCATGCTCATTTGCAGTGGACATATATACTATCAGTAGGACAGAGGCCATTTGAGGAATGTGCTGATATAGTGTCATATAAATACATCACGTGTACAAATTTACCTTTAAGCCTTTACCACCACAACAATGAAGGTTGAAATGCAGGTCTACTTGCACCTGCCTCTAAGTTACAAGGTGTTATTATTGTGTGTGCTGGCAATGAGAATGTCATACTTCCAGATGCTTTATTAGTGTTTACATCAGGTGTGAAATGTGTTGATCCTTGTCAAAAATTATTTCTGATAACCATGAAAAATGGCTGAAAACAGACTTGATTCCAATCAATATGATTCATAATGCTACTTACAATTATATCTATATCAATCACATTCCAACCTTTGCATCTTGTGGTGAACAACCGGTTTTCAAATCTTGGCATTTCTTTTAGTGACCAAGTATGAGCTCAAACAATATTCTGTTACTAAGATACGCAAGACATGATTTGAAAAATTTGTAATTAATACTCTGCTTGCTGAACATGGTGATTCTGTCCTTTGCTTGCCCTGACTGATCTGATATGGCTGAATGTTGCTAGGAGTAGTATCATTTTTTTTATGATGATGATGCAGTGAAATTGTCTGTGAAAAAGATTAATATGGTAACAAAAGCAAACTGGAGAAGCAAGAGCATTCGCCAGTTAGAACAGAATTCATTATGGTTGGAACTTTTAGGGCAAATTATAATTAACATGTAAGATAACAGTGTTAGCAGCTATACCAGCAAAGAGGGAAAGAGGAAGATTAAGCTGGTGAGAAGTCATGTGGAACTGAAGTTTGTAAATGATCACCTGCCATTGGAAGTAAAAGTTCTGCTTATCTTTTTGTGGAAAGCTGTAGAGAGAAAGAAGAGTGCTATCTTCTGGGATGTACGTAATTCCATGTAGCCCAGTAAAGGTTCACTGAAATTTCAGAGGACTTTACTGCCTGCATTGTCAGGCTAAGAAGTAAGCCAAGCAAGAGACAGGTGGAAAGAAGAGCCCTGCTTGCTATGTGCTTGCATGGCTTTTGACCCTGAAGTCACCTGAAATGTCTACTGGACTACATGGCGGTACATCCCAAAAGAGAGTAAATACTCTTCATAGTCACTGCTGTGAGAACCTCAAAGCCAACACAATAGGGAACTGCACAGATTTCACTGAACTGCCTGTACAAGAATCAGCAAAAGTTGTTGTAAGATTGGAGGTTTGCACAAGATGAAGATTCATATTATGGTCTCCTGAGTTATGATACCATGCAGTGTGGTAAGTTGGTATTAACATTTTGGAGGAATATGATGCTGCCATATTCAAAGTAAATCTACTAGGCTGCATGATGTGATAACCCAGAAAACCACAATATTAAGAAGTGGTTGTTTATTTCATCATATATAACATAATGTGTATCCTGTAAGTTTAGCCCCCTTAGTCCCAAATACTGTCTGTAAATGTCTGTGCTTTTCAGGCATTTTTATCTTTGGATAAGATATTCTGTATGGTCTAGTTTCTTGAAAGTTGGAATTTGAAACTGTAGATTTCAAATGAATCTTGTAATGATCTTGATTCTTCAGAATACTGAGAAAGTTGGTGGAGTCAGTAATGCTTCTGATTTGTATTTGAAAGGCATCTGGTTCATATCTTGGTCAGAACATTGGCTGTCATAACTGATTTTCCACATTCCCTTCAGGCATATGCTAGAAAGGTGCCTCAAATTAGACCACAACTGTACTCTTCCACATCATTTCCAATTCCTTATTCACATCACCAAGCTGTTTTGTGCTGTATGGCTTGAGTTACTGGCAGCATTATTAAATAATAAATAAATAAATAAACCGAGAACATTTTACATAGTGCATGTGATTATGGTGACAGTTTTTCTTCATATACAGTGTGATAGAATTATATGTGTCTCTAAATCAAATAAACTGTATAGTTTTAATTCACAGCAGTTAGTTAGTTAATATTTAGCATAATTTCTCACATACTTATGAACTCATGTGTGCCTTTTTTTTTTCAGTTAGTTTACTTAAAGAAAACTTCTTCCCAGACTATCGCTTTAGTGAAGGAGTTCATCACAACTTCTTTTCTGTATATGCCATCTTCTTTCCTGCTGCAACTGGAATTCTGGCTGGAGCCAACATATCTGGAGACTTAATGGTAATATTATTCATTGACTTTGTTTCATTACAGTATTCTTGGGTCATAATAATATGTAAACTTCTTACAGGCACAAACTGTTAGTGTTATAAGTGAATGGAACATGCGTCTACATTGCATCATCATGGAAATAAAGTGGATGCTTCTCAGTATTTTTTGTCTCTCTCACACACAAACGCGCATGCACACGCACGCGGCCGCACGCACACACACACACACACACACACACACACACATCTTTTCCAGCTCATCAGTCATACTACTATGTGGCACATCCCGCAAAATGACATACAGGGTCTCTAAGCCAAGTACCCCTACAGAAACGGACATAGATTGTGTACTCAGGTTCACACTGAAAGGATAAAGGCCAGAAAAGTTGGTACCCTTACATCCTTATTCACTGTGACTGGTATCAGTGATGCTTCTTATTTTGTTATTAGAGGAATTTCAATCTTAGGTTCAGGTCTCAGACGTGATTCTGAGCATATCCTGCTTTCTGTGCATCATTGCCACTAATAAGTCATATCATAAATGTGATATAAATTGTTCCACCCTGGAATTTTATTATGTAATGAGATACTCTAATTTACCCTACTAACATCTTGCCAACAAATGACTACAGACAGTCTGGAAGATGACAAGGTGGTTTCAAGCTGTTATGGCAAATATCATCAGTGATATCCCTGTATCAGTGCCAGAATATGTAAAACTGATTTTTCCTGATGTATCCCATTTCATCTAATAATTACAAACTCACTCACTTTGCCTTCTGTTAGATTGCTGTTGCCATGCTTGTCTCTACACTGTTTACAACCACACTAAATACTCATATAACTTACTGTTTCTGTTCATGTTTTATGTGCAAATATATGTATGCATGCACATACATTAGAGGCAGAAATGTAGTAAACATTTAGAGGAATGAATAACTAAAGGATAGAAGATTGTAATGAAATGTTACCTGAAAAGAATGAAAGATGAAGGAACAAGAAGAGTGAGAACTTTTGGGAACAGAATAGATACCCATCTTAACCTTGAAAGTGTGAACGAATCTCTTTGCATGTTATTTTTCTTAATTTTTATTTGAATGACATTTTTAACTGGATGCTTTCTCAGGACCCACAAGGAGCTATTCCCAAAGGCACACTACTTTCCATCCTGCTGACAACTGTATCCTACCTGGGAATGGCTGTCATGTCAGGTGCTGTAATGGAACGGGATGCAAGTGGCAATGTAACTGAGCTATATAATGGGACATTCACTGATTGTGCTTATCGTGAATGCAAGTGGGGACTGCACAACAGCTTCCAAGTGAGAACATATCTTTTATTGCATGCTTCTGTAGTTGTATTTAAAAAATTCATTACAAGTCATATCACACAATTTGTTTGTCACCTGGCGCTGGAAGAGATTAGCTCATGTGTGGTAAAATTTGCAGTTTGTGTAATTGATGACTTTTATTTTAGGTATAGGAACAGGATTATGCACAATATATCACTGATGGTTGTGGTGCTAAGATCAGAATATGGCATATTCCATGTCCTACAGTCATTCTGATTAACTTTGGATCCATGGAATGCAATGCAATGTAATGTAATGTAAAAACCCTTTCTTCTTTAATTCAAGTCCCTTGGTACTGTAGTGTCAGATGGGCTTATTGCACCAGTCCCTGGTAACAGATGAGTATGGATCAAAGNTGGATCCATGGAATGCAATGCAATGTAATGTAATGTAATGTAAAAACCCATTCTTCTTTAATTCAAGTCCCTTGGTACTGTAGTGCCAGATGGGCTTATTGCACCAGTCCCTGCTAACAGATTAGTATGGATCAAATGTAGATTGATGATTTTAAGTAAACACATATACTGCACATTGTTTATGGTGGTAACATGTGTAATCATGACCTTTTAATCCAATCCAGTGAGATTTTTTCCCTTCAGTGTGCAACTTGGAAGGAAAAATTAAAAAGTGTTCTCTGTATTAGCCCTGTGAAATACAGAACAAATGTAACAAAACTGAATGAAGGTTGGACTTAAATGATTTCATGGAATTAAAATGTTCTTATAAGTTAATTAGGAGAGATTTATGTCCCTTTTCAGGACTTTATATATGCCATGAGTCATTGAAATTGCTGGGTAGGACTAGGAAGTTGTTTTCCCATGGCTTCTGAACTTGATTTTTATTTGTATGAATTCTTCACACTCACTGAAAAAAGAAAAAAATAGAGATATGATCATGTTTGTTGATATGTTCATCCATCTGTTCTTGTGTTTCATCTCCCAGTTACAGTAATGCATTTTTTATGAATTATGGTATGGAATGTTATGACAGTATTCCTAAGACAAATTCCATTTTGGTCCATAACCCTTTACATGAAAATAATTTCTGTATTTTGAAAATTTCACAAAACTGTTTAACATACAGGAAATTTATACATGCTGTGACATACAAGGACTTTTCAGAAAGTGACCTCCAGTGAGTTGTTAACAAATCAAGTAATGAGAAAAGAATTTATAATATACAAAAAATACATACTTGAGCTACTTCTCAATGTAGTCACCACTGGAATTTAGGCACCTGTTGTATTGGGAAATAAGTTTTTGTATGCCTTTGTCAAAGAAGCCTGCCACCTATGAGCTCAGCCACATTTTGGTACCTTCTATCAACTCCTCATTATTGTTGAAGCGCTGTGATCCTAACCAGTTCTTCAGGTAGATAAACATGTGGTAGCCTGCTGCAGCGAGATCAGGGCTGTAAGGAAGGTGGTCAGGCAACTCCCTATTGAAGTGCTCCGGCAGTGCTTGAGTGTGAGAATCTGTATGTGGACACGCCTTGTCATGGAGGAGCACTACACTGGATATCAGCATTCCAATTTTCTTATTCTGAATGGCCATACACAGTTTGTATAGTGTTTCACAATACACATGCGATGTTATTGTGGTTTCTTTTTTACATGAATTCCACCATCAGCACTCCTTTCCTGTCCCAGAAAACAGTTGCCACCAGCTTTTTGGCTGGCAGACAATGTTTGTTTAAACTTTTTTTGGCTTGTCTGGTAAATATACGTAGGACAGTCAAAAAGTTCCCTGAATTCCCCTGCAGACGGAGAACGAGTGATAAGATAGCACACACACTGTTGTGGTGGGAAGCTCATCATGTCTTCTCGCAGGTGCAATAGGTCTGGACAGGTTTCAGTGTGCAGTGTTGTTACTGTTCCGTTTGAATTAGACGTGAGTGTTGGTCATTCGGCGCAATGTTGCAGTTCGAACAGCGTGTGAACATCAAGTTCGTGTGCAAATTGGGAAAATCTGCTTCAGAGATGCTGTCGGCCCTGCAGCAAGTGTATGGTGATACTGCACTAAAAAAATCCGCAGTTTATGACTGGTTTTCCTGGTGTAAGAATGGGCAGGAGATGTTAGAGGATGACCAGCATAGCGGGAGACCTTTGGCATCCAGACCCGAAGCAATGATTGGAAAAGTGTGACAACTGGTTCAATGTGATCGAAGAATGACCATTGCAGAGTTGGAGCAAGAAGTTGGTACTGTTACTGGCCATTTCTACATGCAAGTTTTGCAGAGGTTGTATGATGCGGTTCGGAGGAAGCGGCATGAGAAGTGGCAGGGGCAGTGGTTTCTGCATCACAATAACGCACCGAGCCACACATCGCTTGTTGTGCAGAAATTCCTTGCCGAGAAAACCATTCCTGTCATCACTCAACCACCGTACTCTCCGGATCTTGCTCTGAGTGACTTTTGGCTGTTCCCTACTCTAAAAATGGGCCTCAAGGGGACACGTTTCACAACCATGGAGGACATAAAATCGAATACGACAGCTGAGCTCCGGAAGATTTCAAAAGAAGCCTTCCACCACTGCTTCCAACAATGGCAGGATCAATGGAGCACATGTGTGTGCGCGTGCAAGGGTCCTGCTTTGAAGGTGATTAGGTAAGCGTTGCTGTATGTCCTACCATTAGAGTGCTATACCACCATTCTGGGAACTTTTTGACTGCCCCTCATTTGTGCATCCACTGCTTTGACTGCTTGTTGGTTTCACCATTCACAAGAAACTCGGGTTTAATCACCTATTACTTGTAAGATGTGATTGAGAAATTCATCTCCATCTTTGTGGTATTTCTCTAAAGAAAGTGAAAGCTGAAGCCATTCTCTGTGTTTATGCACACCTGTGAGAATGTTTTGAACCAGTCATGTCCAAAACTTGTGATAGCCTAGCCTAACTGTAGAAAACAATGTGTGAAATGTTTGGAAATTTGCATGAAAGTTCTGAAATTATGAAGCACCGTTTTTCATAAATTTTTTGGCCAGCACTTTGAGCAAGACCACTTCCCTCTTCATTGTGAACATTTGTTCACCCATCTTTTAACATTCTACACCATTGTCTTACAGTTTCTTCACTCTCTTCTTTTTGACCATAAGCCATGCATAATTTATGATGGATTTTTGCAGCACTAATGTTTTTAGCATGAAGAAAGTGGATAACAGCCTAAATTTCACAGCTGGCAGGATTATCAATTTCAAGACACATCATAACTCACTCTGTAAAGACAAGAACAAACACTAGGTGACCAGTTATGTGATGGTTTACAAGGCTGTGAGTCATGTGATGCTACTTCAAATGCGCAAGTTCTGCCCTGCTCCTACATTAGTTGCCTAAAATAAATGGATGTTGCTTTCCAAATAGCCCTCGTATATCCTATCTTGTGTTTGTGCTTGTGTCCGGAGGTGGGTACTATGTCTGTCTATTGGGCCCAACTGAGTAGTTTCTCCCTGAAAGCCAAGACAATCTTCGAAACATTATGTGTTTTAAATAAAAACAGGATGATGGATAATGTCCAGAAACACAATAATTGTATTAAAATACATGGTGTCTTAACCTGTAAGTCCACAGTATGAATGTTCATGGCAATGAAAATCTGAAATACATATCATATATATTTTTCATTGATGCAATATGTAGTCCATGTGGATTCTGGAAGGTTGTTCTGGAAGGTGCTAACTGCATATTGAGGATACTTTATATCTATGTTTGCACTTTGTGTTGCAGGTGATGGAGCTGGTGTCAGCATTCGGACCCTTGATTTATGCTGGTTGCTTTGCAGCAACACTTTCCTCAGCACTTGCCAGTTTGGTGTCTGCACCCAAAGTATTTCAAGCTCTGTGCAAGGATCAGCTGTACCCTTATATCACATGGTTTGCCAAAGGTTATGGCAAAAACAATGAGCCAGTTCGAGGATATGTACTTTGTTTCTTCATTTCCATAGGTTTTATCCTCATTGGTGAGTTTGTTATTGTATTCTTTTAAGTTATACTTCCAATTGTAACAACTAATCTGTGCCCTATATTCTGTAGTGTTATATTTGTCACATTTAAATGAATATAATATAAGTTACATATTGTATGTTTGGTCCATTTACTAATACTATGTAGAACCTATATACAGTGGAATCCCACATTAAGATTTTTCTGTTTTTAATGTTCATTTTTTGGAGTCCTGAGAAGTACCATATATGCAATGCATAAAGTATAAAATGTATGTCAGAAGCCACAACTCCAACATGAAGAGACACTTTGTTCTGCAGTATTACAGCAAATACAGACTTGATCTGTAAATGCCTGTATACTGGGAGCCTTTAAACTAGGTGTCTTGAAAAAATCGTTTTTGCAGGACACTGATCTTTTCATCGTGTGCCTTTCATATGTTTTGCATTGTTGACCATATCGCAGGTTACCTTGTGAGACTAAGTTATATTATCTCGTCTCTCTGTTGGTGTTGTATATGGAAAAGGGAATACCACCACGATATATTAAAAAAATCACATACACTATTTGTCACAGTGAAACCTCTCAGAATTATGGAGTTTTTGGTCTTCCTCCATTGTCTAGTATTCTGAACACTAGCAGTCACAACGTTTTGGAAACTGGATCTGTTTCTGTCCTCAGGTGAGGGGGAGACACCTTCTCTGTTGGGACCCTTAAAAAGATCTAACCTCAGTCACTCTTTCTAAGGGACCCAACAGAGTAGGTGTCTGCCCCTTGCTTGAGGACAGAAATGGATTCAGTTTCCAATACATGTTCTCTATTTTTTAGAATACCAAACAATGGACAAGGTAAAAAAAAAACAGTAATTCTGAATCTTATACACCGTCATCAGAAGCCTTTAGAATCTAAGTTAAACCTCTGTTTCTGTCCATATGTGATTGAGCCATTTCTGTGAATATCAGTTCTGATGGATGCTGTTAACCCTGATTGTAGGGCCAGGTACATTGTTTTAAGCCAGAATGCTAATTCCATCATGCTTGTGCTCTTGTGTTGCAGGAGAACTGAATGCAATTGCACCATTAATCTCCAATTTCTTTCTTGCTGCATATGCACTCATCAATTTCAGCACATTCCATGCCTCTTTGGCAAAGCCTGTTGGCTGGAGACCAAAATTTAGGGTGAGGTATTGCACCATAATTTTTTAAGAATGTAATCATGTTGATGTGCTGTTCCTTTGAAATTACTTAACCTCTTGATCTGTAAAATGTCTTGCAATTAGCATAACACCTGTGAATTTTTTTTCATCATATTGTAAATTTCAGTACACACATTAAAAATCAGACAACAGCATATTAAATTATATCACTTTTATCATCATGCGATTTCACATTTCCATGTCTTACCACATAACCTGATACTGATGGGATACTTTGTTTAAATTAAAAGTAGTGTCACCAAATAACCAAAGAGATAGCATGATATGACTATCATAAAACAAGGAAAATGTTAGCGTCTTTGCATATTCTATTATAATGATTCTTAAATGCATCTACCAGGTATTTGCAAGAGTAGCAGAAAGGTCAGACAGAAGTAACCAGATATGAAGATGGAAAAATTTTGATGTGAATCTTGTGATTTCGTTTGTTCTGTGTACCAGTAAAAAAAAAAGTAAAGGTATCCCTGTAACAGGCCGTGGAGGCCCATAGGGTTGTGAGATGTTGAGGTTCCCGTGTTTTCTAGACATTTGGCTCATAGATGACGGTAAGATTGTCACCCTTACGCATTGGCCGCCCTTTACCCCGAAGAATATTCCTGGTACACATTTCTCTTAAAGGCTGAGTTGGCCCCAGGGCCATAGTGCGGCTGGCAGGATTAGATAAATAAAAAAAAAATCCACCTCATCAGGATTCGATCCGCGACCTTCTGGCTTATAGCATAGTGCCTCAAACAACTATGCTACCATGTGCCCCCTGTATACCAGTACCCTCTATACTTATCAGAGGAATGGAGTAATTGAGATTTTGCTTAACAAATATAAGTCATAGATAGACACTTTTATCACTATTCAGGTCAGAGCTCAGTCCTTACATATTTCAGAATATACACCCCACTTTCATCTATCCAGATCTCTTTCATATACATGTAAGTGTAAGTGCATGTAATTTTTGTTGATTTGTTGCAGTACTACAACATGTGGTTGAGTTTGGCTGGTGCCTTATTATGCGTGTTTGTGATGTTTGTCATAAGCTGGTGGACTGCCCTCATTACATTGGCTTGTGTTCTGGCACTCTACCTCATTGTAGCCTACAGAAAACCAGGTAGAATGAGTTCATATACTCTTTCAGATATTCTGATAACTGAAAATTGACTGCCATGCACTTTCTATGTGGCTGTCATAGCCACTGTTGTTGGTGAGGGAGAGGTGAACAGAAATGTGTCATCAGTGATGCTGCATTTAGGAGATCTAAGTTGAAATCCAGTACTGTGTTGACCCATAACACATCAGAAATACAATATGGTCCTTAATGTTTTTTGTTACAATGTTCTCAGTTGATGTTCTTCACTACCATATTAACCTGGTGAAATAATAGCTATATATAACAAGCTCAATTCCTTTGGAATCTACAGTTACAAATAATGACAGTTTCTGAACAAAATTTTATTGATTTACTCTTCTTATTCTTTGATCGTGTTCCTAAGTTTTGTTATTGTTGTTCCCAGATATGAACTATATAGTTCGGAACATTTTCAATTGAGTTGCTTCATAATTTATTTAACTCTTTTCTTCAATGGAAGACATTTAAATGGCTCTCTTCTCTTGGTATGGAAGATGTATGATCCTAGAAGCACCAGCTTTAATTGGTGTGGTGTCAGACTGCCATTTTCGGTTGTCAGAATTTCACTTCTTTCATTGGAAAATGAAATATAAAATTTCCCAATAGAAAGTGTTCTGCCCAAGTGCTGCTTGGCTGTGCACTTCAGATTAAAAATCAATATGCTGTCAAGTGTAATAATTCTTGTAATGGTAGAAATTTTCAACACTTGAAAGTTAAACCTTGTAGATACAAAGGACAGTGTTTGTTCTAAAGGGTTCTGACAGTGGTGTATAACACACAGAATTACTGGGGTTTTGGACGTTTTCCATCGTCCAGTATTCTACAGAATAGAAAACAAAACATTTCAGAAACTGGATCTGTTTCTGTCCTCAGGTGGAGGGGGGGGGGAAGAGACCTACTCAGTTGGGCCTCTTAGAAAGAGCTAATCTCAATCACTGGACAGAGATATCTTTAAAATTTAATGTCTCACATAAAAATTTCTTTAAAAATTAATGAAATTATTTAACATTTTAACTGAATGAGATATGTGTATATGTAATTTGGTTAGCTTACCTAGGAAGTGGATTTTCCTAGACATGAGGACCTTTTACTGAAGAAATTTAGTGTGGTAGCCTTCAAAACAGTTAAAACACAGTCCAGCATCTCACTTTGCACTCCAGTATACTATGTCCTTTTCCCCATTTGGGAAATGATTGTAAGTAACAGATATAACTAACTAACAAACTCAATGGAGCTGAGTCCTTCTTGTAAAGCCAACAGTAACTCAGCTGATCAAGAATTTCCCAACACTTTATGGAATCCAAAGGTTCATTACCATGTTCACAAGAGCCTACCCCTGGTCCTTATCCTGAGCTAGATGAATTGAGCCTATACCTGTCCATACTATTTCCCAAACATTCATTTTAATATTATCCTCCCACCTAGATCTAGGTCTTCCCTGTAGTATCATTCCTTCTGGCTTTCCCACCAAAACCCTGTATAGATTCCTCTTTTCCCCTATGCATACTACATACCCTGCCCATATCATCATCCTTTGCTTTATCGCTGTAATTCAGTTAATTCAGCAGTTGAAAATTCTGAGTCAGTAGCACATGATGTTCTACACAGATGTATGTATTACATAAGGCAGGCATGAACGTTAAATGTTTCTGTGCCTTATGTATGTTACATAGTACTGAATGTAAATAAAGTAATTTTTACACATGATGATTGAGAAAGATTGTTTTAAGATTTGAGACCGATATTGAGATAGCGTCATGACATTTTCTTGAGAAATGAGGAAAATCTCAAAAGAGCCTAGTCATCTGGGTCTTCCATCCCAAACTCTGAATATAAAGCAGGAGCACTAACCAATATGCTATGAAGTGATTTATAACCTAATTAAGTTATGTTTTAATCACAGGTTTTGGTTTTGAGATGTGCTGCTTTTGTATTAAAATTATCTTACTAAATTACATGTGTCATTGTTTTCCAGATGTGAACTGGGGCTCCACAACACAAGCTCAAACATATAAGAATGCCTTATTATCTGTACAACAGTTAAACAATGTTGAAGACCATGTGAAGAATTATCGTCCACAGATCCTTGTTCTGTCAGGCATGCCAAGTTTCCGTCCACCACTGATAGATTTTGCATATCTTTTAACAAAAAATCTGTCACTCCTTATTTGTGGTCACATTTTGAAAGTAAGTGAATATACTATAAGCTCTTACATATTATGGTGAACTCCCACATTTTTGTTTCATCCCCTTTTGTATTCATACTATCAGGCATGTGTATACACAATGTCAAGTTTTCTGTCCAGTTTTTAATAATGGTCAACAAGTGAAAAAGTCTTTAAATATAGTATTTGTTAGTATTAACTCCCACTTTCTCTTTGTATTTTTTCAGATGTCAAATAGATAAAGGAACAGGAGGCAGTGTTTTGTAACATAATGGCTGCAAGCCAGAAGAGTGGAATGAGTAGAGGTGGTCATTGCTATGCAGCAGCATGGTAAACATGTTTCCATGGCAACAGATGCTGATACAAGAAAAGAGGACATGGTGTTGTCTATGCAGTCCTTGCCAAAGGCTATATAACGAGGACCAGAAGGAGGGCTGTATATATGACTGCTGGTGAGGGCCAGCAGCAGATGTAAACAACAGACCCATCCTCTCGTTAGAGAGGGCACCCCACATCAGAAAACCTGCAACTGTTTGACAGTAATAAAGATTTGGTCTTGGGCCCCAGATGGATGCTTGACACCAAGATAGACTGGCTGACTGGCCATCCATCATAACATAACTTTGACTCCGACTCGGAATTTGGCAGTTCATGTCAAGAGGTATCTCCACTATTAGCAGCCACTACTTCACAATGACTACCTCTACTCATTCCATTCTTCTAACTTTCAACCAGATATTGTACACACAGTATATAATATGAGTGAGAGTAGACCTGTCTTACATGTCTCATATTTTATGTGAGGGTTAGTTGACTAGTGTGGAGNTTTTTTAATAAAGGGTTAGAGCATGAATCCGGTTTCTTTATTGCCACACCTTGTATAATTGAATTTTGTAGTGTAGGAACTGTTGTGGCCTTAGGAAATAAAAACNGTAAACAACAGACCCATCCTCTCGTTAGAGAGGGCACCCCACATCAGAAAACCTGCAACTGTTTGACAGTAATAAAGATTTGGTCTTGGGCCCCAGATGGATGCTTGACACCAAGATAGACTGGCTGACTGGCCATCCATCATAACATAACTTTGACTCCGACTCGGAATTTGGCAGTTCATGTCAAGAGGTATCTCCACTATTAGCAGCCACTACTTCACAATGACTACCTCTACTCATTCCATTCTTCTAACTTTCAACCAGATATTGTACACACAGTATATAATATGAGTGAGAGTAGACCTGTCTTACATGTCTCATATTTTATGTGAGGGTTAGTTGACTAGTGTGGAGCAATTGCAGCAGTGTGGGTAGGTGTTGTTGTCTGCCAAGTAGAATTTTTGCTTGACTGGAGAACTGAACAGTCATTTGTTGATCACTTATAATAACTTTCTTTCCTTTTGCTCAAATCAGGTACTGTATATAATTGAATTTTGTATTGTAGGAACTTTTGTGGCCTTAGGAAATAAAAATTTACTTCCCACAAATACTGAGAGACTTGTGTTTTTAAAGCATATTCAATATAGCGACTGGCTATGAGCTGGATGACCAAGTGGTCGGAAATCGAGTCCCAGTAGGATCAAGAATTTTCAATTCTCCAATCATCCAGACCAGCTCTGGTATCCACCCAACCTTCTACACAGTGGGTACCAAGGGCTCTTTCCTGGGGGTAAAGTAGCCGGGCTGTGAAGCTGACCACTCACCTCCAACTAGTGCCAAGGTCAAGAAAATGTGAATGTATACATCCATTCCCCCATACATCTTCATGGTGTAGTGCTTAATTAGTTAAGCACAGGAACAACTTTACCTTTATATGTAAATTCTGAAGATCACAGAATTTTGTATTTGATTACAAGTGTACCACTTATATAATGTTATTTAAATTTCTGATTATGATGGGAGTAATTTTGCAAGAAGATGCTCTAACACTTTTAACAATCATCTTTACATACTGATTTTCCCTTCATTCATGAATATGATGATTTGTGTCATACACAATGTACACGCTGTGTAAGTTGCACAAAATGCAATTTAATATTTGTTCATAATTTAATGCTTCATAGATTGAAGATGAATAGAAAATTTGAAGTTCAAATTCATATTTGTAGTGAAGTTGGAATTTATGCTATTTTAAAAATTTTGGTGTAAGATTTGAGGTTTGCACAGTCCCGGTTATAAAGAGTACTATCTTCTGGGATTATTTCCTAGCAGATATAACTTTTAAAAAATTTCTATGTTTGCACATACCTGTTATTTATAATCTTTACCACAATATGATTTTTCTAAAAGTACAGCCCCCTGAAGCTTGTGTGGGGTATGTTGTTGTTGTAATTGTATTGCCGACATTAATTTATCATCATTATCCTCACTGTTATTGCTGTCATCACTTTTTATTCTTCTTAATGTGATTATTATTTCCCCATTTAGAGCCCCATATCTCAACGCGTCAGAAATATCTTGACTTACAAAGCTCACAACTGGCTGCGCTCACACAAAATCAAGGCATTCTATACTCATGTGGATGAAGTAAACTTCGAAGAAGGAGCTAAGGCATTACTCCAAGCCTCAGGTGTTGGCAAGCTGCGGCCAAATATCTTGCTTATGGGCTACAAGGGCGACTGGCGAGACTGCGAGAGAGAAGACTTAGCCATGTACTTCGAGGTGATGCAGTAAGTGTAGCGTGAAATTGCTTGGTTAAGACATTATACAACTATAAGTTTACCTGTAGTGAAACTTGATCTTTCACGCCGTTAGATGATCATGGATTGAGGTTATTTTGAGAAAGATTTTGAACTGAAGAAAGAAGACTGGTCAAGACAGGAGAAAATTGCTTAATGAAAGAGAGGTTCCTAACTCATGCTTCTCATTTAAAATTCTTACGAGTCTTTACATAACACAGGATGAGATGGGTAGGGCATGTTGCATATGTGACAGAAATAAGAAATAAATTCAAAATTTTGGCTGGAGAATGTTGAAACCATGTATGAAACCAGGAACTGAGAAGGCAAGAGTGTGAAGTCAGTTGGTTCATTCCAATGGCAGACTTTTCTGAATTCAATAATGGATTCAATGAAAAGAAGGAATTTCTTGACCATTTCAATAACTGTCAAATGCTCAAGAAATTTCCACACTGTAGGTAAATCATACATGTTGAAGCTTTAAAATGTAGGAGGATATTATTATGATACTGTAAGTGTGTATTAATCACTGATCCTTAATATTTTACTGCTGCCATCATGATCCTAAATGTAGCAAAACTGTGTAATATTAACCTTTATCATCCAGGAGTAGGGGATTTAAATCTGTGGCACTAGTGTCTAGATTTTAACTTGGAGTAATGGTATTTATACTGTAAACAGTGAGATGCTAGGCCTGCTGCAGCCTGCTTGACTCACACAGTGCCATTACAGTATAGCAGTATGAGACCCAGGCTATATAGGTTAGCTGTTGTGCAGTATCATAGCATAAAGATGATTTATTTTGCAGCTGTCACTATAACCAACAGTTAAATGTGGATCATTAACAGGAGCAGGCTAATTATGTTATAAATCCAATAAAACTTGGTCTCCCATCTGGGATTGTTAATGTATTGTTTTTATCACTGAATTGCTAGACAAAACATTAAGAATAGTCTAGAAAATACTGAGGTTTGTCCCCTGTAATTGGCGTTTTGAACGCAGTGTTCATAGGTTCATATATGATAACTAAGAAACTAGTTAATTTGGACTATAATTCAGTTTTTGGTAAGGGAAAGGAAACTATACTGAAAGGAATTTGTGTTATATGAGGACTGTCTTGAGCTTTCTTATCACCCCCATGACTGTACTACATATGAAGATACAAAAGCTGTGATATCTTGCACAGCATGGACCAGAAAGCTCTATTAACCAGAAATTGACTAGTGAATTAGAGATACTGGTTTCTTGTTAGATTTTTTTTAGATCTTTTAGATCCAATATACACCCTGTTATGTAAGTAATGGTAATGCTTTATTCTGACCATCTTACAGTGCATACACTCATTCACCTTACTCTTCTCTCTTGCACTACATGTTTCAACACTAAAGTGCCATCTTCAGGTGCTTTTCTATGTACATCGAACTACTTCACTGCATGCCCTGTTGTCTTTATACTAAAATAACTAAAATATATATTCGTCATATATAATGATAAATTTTAAATATTAAAACTGTTCAGGATTTGTCATACTTATGTCGTATCTCAATACGCAAGTCACACCTATCTTCTTCTATCGGAGTATTCTTCCTACTTTCATGTGTGTATTGTGCTTTGTGTTGTGTCTTGCTCCTGTGACTGCGTGTGTTATACTAGAGTATAACACACGCAGTCACAGGAGCAGTGACTCGCGTATTGAGATACGACATAAGGATGACACACAGTCACAGGAGCAAGACACAACACAAAGCACAATACACACATGAAAGTAGGAAGAATAATCCGATAGAAGAAGATAGGTGTGACTCGCTTATTGAGATATGACATAAGGATGACACACACAGTCACAGGAGCAAGACACAACACAAAGCACAATACACACATGAAAGTAGGAAGAATACTCCGATAGAAGAAGATAGGTGTGACTTGCGTATTGAGATACGACATAAGGATGACAAATCCTGAACAGTTTTAATATTTAAAATTTATCATTATATATGACGAATATATATTTTAGTTATTTTAGTATAAAGACAACAGGGCATGCAGTGAAGTAGTTTGATGTACATAGAAAAGCACCTGAAGATGGCACTTTAATGCTGAAACATGTAGTGCAAGAGAGAAGAGTAAGATGAATGAGTGTATGCACTGTAAGATGGTCAGAATAAATCATGGACATAAATCAGTGCAGCAGGATGCTAAAATATAACATTAAGCAATGGTAAAAAATAAACAGGAATTGTGGCAGGGAAAACAGGACAGATCTGTCCACAAGTTTGCTAGGTACACTAAGATACATGTTAGGTAAAACATTATAATATCTGGGAAATTAAAATATTTAGACCCTTTGGTCCAGGAGGTGCTGGAAATTGCAACATTACTGTACATTATAAAGGAGAAAGTATATTTAATTCTGTGAAGAAACCGTTTCACTGTTAAGGACAAAAAAGCTCACTATTTTCAATAGACAGTAACACTGTGTGGAAGTGATCATTAATTATGGGTGAAACGGGTCTGATGCATGGTAAATATCACTGTAGTTTAGTGATACAACTGTTCCACCAAAGTTACAGCATGCAATATGATAACCTTGTTTGTTTAGAGAAATTCCACAGCAAAAAGTAATATAAAAATTGTGGCTTCATGATAAAAAAACAATATACTTCCTATGTGTAGAAATCATATATTGCACTGATGCCAGAATTGTGGAAGTCAGGTGAATATAGGCTTCTATATGTTCATCACTACAGCGTAAAGGTAATCATATGTGTTTTAACTCTCAGAAACAAACAAATGAGACTCATGTTCACTTAATCTTTGCAGTAAAGCACTTGACATGTACATGGCAGTTGCCATTCTAAGACTTCAAGAGGGTCTAGATTACTCCAAAGTGGTAGCAGATGAAGATGACCTGGTGAATGGTATCAATTCTATAGCTGGAGGTGGGGAAAAGGGTGTCATTCGCACAAGACAGAACTCTCAGGAATCTCTGCCCCGTAATCAATCCTTCTCACAGATGTCTCAAGGTGAGTTGGGAATTACAATTTTCACTTAAGTAGGATACATTAAGAAGGAGCTGCTAACTCCTAAATTATGTCTCTGTTTTTCTGGTGGTGTCAAGATACTTATACTATATTGATGTTTTGGGTGATAACACCATGTTTTGGTAAGCAGTTTTTAGATACATCTGACATATTGTGATCTTCTTCAGGGTGAAGTGACTGACAGATCTCTTCCTCTTATATTGTACGCAGGGCCAGGGCATAATATTCTACAGTTCATTGTTGTGTAATCTGCTAAATACAAATTAATTTCAGCTGCCTGTTTTAGCCTCCTTTCCCTATTTTGAAAAAACTGAGATAGGCTTATGAGATGACCTTTTTGTCTTTGTATCTCTTCATAATTGCTAGGCAATAGCTCAGTAAAAACGTTCCCACAAGAACGAATACACCCACCAATAAAAGAATTGTTGGGTGTGTCATTTTCTGTGTGACCCACGTCATATCAAAAGAAAGTAGACAATTAGTTTTTCTCAGAACTTCTTGTTTTTATATTGTAACAATCATCTTAGCATTTTATGCAGCAGTGTCAGTTTAAGTCTTTTAAGAAGAATGATGTTTTACATCATTGTGTCCAGGAATTTGTTTTTAGTTGTGAGAAGTTTTGAGAAATTTGAGGGTTTTTTACTGGGTGGGGTGGGTTGGTTGCCATTTCCTAGGGTGGTACTGATGCACCAGCCCTGGTTGTACTGAATCATGAAGCTTGTATTCTTGTTGGTGGATATGAAAATGTGTAGGAATTGGTCACTCTGATTTAAAGACTGAGATTGCAACATTTTTTTAAAATCAGAAAGAAATTTGTGTGCCAATGACGTGTCATTGCCCAAAAAGATAAAATGTAAGTCTCAGACCATGTGTCAAGAATCACCAAGACTACTAAATAGACATATATTAACTTTATTCCTTATCTGCATACAGTGCATAAGATGACACTTTATTGAGAAATCATGTCTCTTCAGCTATATGTTTCATATGTAGCTTTTGATTATACGTATTTCACTTTCATTTTGATTGGTCACTTATGACTTCTGCTTTGCTTATGGGTTCTTACAGTTCTGGCAGTGTTTTGCACATTTTTGGCTCATATCTGTGTCATTCTTATTGCTGTCCCCAAATAGAGGTATTTTGTTGATGCCTATTCTTTGTATATCAATTTCTTGTATTTCTTATATTGTGCATTTAACATTTTTAATACTATTTAGTATTGTGCTATGTTTTGAGGAAATTCAGATAAATTAATTTGGCAATGGAAGTGTCTGTTCATCTCTATTTTGAGGAGGTAAATTCTGTTATTTTTTTCCATGTTTAGGTCCTCACTAAAGAATGGTATATAAATACTCTTGGAAAATTTATAGGACCTGATGCTATAAGAAGCCAAAAAAACTCAACTGTTGTGAAGACACTGATATGCTTAGTAATTCATTACTTCTGTACATAATTTATTTTTGTTATATGAATACAGTATAAAATTTCACTTTCTTTATTTTTTTCATTCTTTCTTTCTTCCAATTTTGTTATGGATAAAAATATTAATAAGATATTCTGATTATTCTTCCATTTATCTTTCCCTCAAACAAATGCAGAACTGTACAAATATCTCAGTCTAGGAATCCGTCAAATGACTAGGGGTAAGTTCCACAGTGCAAAATGTTTAAAACTGTTTTGATATATTAATTTCAGCCTAATTATCTATTTATATAATTTCCTAACACATGTAAACAGTGACGTGGGATTTCAACCTCAGCATGTTTTGTGATGTTTGTAAGGGAAGCCAGAAACATTGGCATCGTTTGATTTTATTTATTTAGTGGTATTTATCAGCATTGAAAGTGTTGCAGTAGTTGTGAAAGCCTTTAATGCACTGCACTTCTGGATTAACTAATACTCTGGTGATGTTTGGGTGATGCACTCCTATCTTTTAGAGATACATGCTTTCTTTGATTATTAAAGTGTTATGATAATGACAGTATGTAACAGCTGTTTCTGCTGATAACTATACACAGACATTCCCTAAAGCACTCTTTACAGTTATGAAATGTACTTTATTGTCATACTGGCTCTGGGGCCCACTCAGCATCCTATCCAATGGATACCAGAGGTCTTTCCCCTTGGTAAAGTGGCCAGGGCATGAAGCTGACCATGCACCTCCATCTAATGCCAAGGTCAATAATTGTGGAGCTATATCTCCACTACCCCATGCATCTTCATGGGATAGTGCTTAATTCAGCACTGTGTCTCCATTATGTCACAATATAAGACTTGACAATTTTAAAAGACACCCAGTCATGTAAAAGTAAGTGCTGTTGAGTAGGCAGAGTAACATGGACTTACTTACTTACTCATGGAGCTGAGCCCTTCTGGAGGAGCCGCCAATTCTGCAGCTACTCAAGAATTTCCCAGCATTTTATGGAACCCGAAGGTTCATCACCATGTTCACAAGAGCCCTCAACTGGTCCCTATCCTGAGCCAGATCTATCCAAGCCAAACCATCCCATTCTCTCTCTCTAAGATCCATTCTAATATTGTCCACCCACCTACGCCTTGGTCTTCCTGTGGTCTCTTTCCTTCTGGCTTTCCCACCAATATCCTATATGCATTCCTCGTCTCCCCCATTCGTGCTACATGACCTGCCCACCTCATCCTACTTTACTTGATCATTCTAATTATACTTGGAGAAGAGTACAATTTATGAAGCTCCTCATTATGCAGTTTTCTCCAACCACCTGTCACTTCATCTCTCTTCGTTCCAAATATTCTCAACACCCTGTTCTCAAACACCCTCAGTCTATGTTCCTCCCTTAATGTCAGAGACCAAGTTTCACACCCATACAGAACCACAGGCAAAATTATAGTTTTGTATATTCTGATTTTTATGTTTTTGGACAAGAGACGGGAAGACAAAAGGTTCTGGGCTGAATGGTAGCAAGCATTACCCAAGTTCAATCTCCTCTTAGTTTTCTCCTGAATCAGGTTTTGATATGATATCGTTGTTCCCAAATATCTGAACTGTGCCACATTTTCAAAACATCTGTTTCCTATCTTTATATCATGATTTTGCCCTGCATTTTGGTGATGAGACAGTAACATATACTTAGTTTTCTCTGTGTTCACTTCTAGACCAACCTCTTTACTTGCACCAATTAAAGTTTGTGTGTCTTTTTTTATGATATCTACATTATCACCCAGTAGATTCACATCATCGGCATAGACCAACAGCTGATGTGTCCCATTTAATTTCAGTCCCACCTAGTTTCCCTGGACCTTCCTATGTGCATATTCTAAGGCAAAGTTGAAAAGGAGTGGCAATAAAGCATCTCCTTGTTTTAGACCATTCTGGATAGGAAATTTATCAGACAAATGTTTACCTATACGGACTTTACTATACGTTTAGTTTAAACACATTTTAATCAACCTAACTAGTTTCATGGATATCCCAAACTCTGTTAGAATATTGTATGATACTTCCCTCCTAACTGAATCGTAGGCTTTCTTGAATTCTGTGAATAGCTGATGTACTGTCTCATCGTACTCCCATTTTTTTTTCAGTATCTGACAAATGCAAAAGATCTGATCTGTAGTTAATCTGTTACGTCAAAACCTGCACTGATGATCCCCAATAATTTCATCTATATATGGACTTAACCTTGAAAGAAGAATATTGGACAAAATTTTATATGAAGTTTTATCACCCTTCTTGCGAACTGGTACAGTAATAGACTCCTTCCACTGATCAGGCAATTTTTCCTTATGCCAAATAGAAATTATTAGATTGTGGATCTTAGACTGTAATATTTCGCCTCCAGCTTGAATAAGTTCTGCTGGAATTTGATCACTACCTGGCGATTTATACCGTTTCAATTTTGCAATAGCACTTTCAACCTCAAAAGGGCTTACTACTGAAAATTTACACTGCAGTACCATAAGAAACGCAAAGAATTAAGAAAATGTTTTGATTTTATCAAGTACATATTTGGCTGAAATCTGCATATTATTGCTGGTACATAGCTTGAAATCCTTTCCTTCCATTTCCACTCTTTGAACTACAAGATACGTGAATATCAGGGTAGTTGTTAGGGAGCAGATAGGTCGTTATTTGAAGACTAAAATGGAACCTAAAAATTTGGTAATGGGAGTTAACGCCAGCAGATAATCATTAATGTTAAGTCAATATCCTTGTTATAAGGGCATAACCATGGGCTCACCATTATCAAGTGCTATGGCAGAAATTTTCCTACAAGATCTAGAACAAAACAGAATAAAACATTTACTGGATGATGAAAAAAATCATATACTGTAATAGATATGTAGATGACAGTTTCATAATATATAATCAAACAAAAATAACCCCCCAAAGCCTCCTCGGAACACTTCAGTGTAGAACATAAAGACTTGCAGTTCACAATAAATGAGGAAGTAAACAACCGGATAGCCTACTTAGATTCAAATCTAATTAACAAAGATGGACAAATAGAAATATACAGAAAACCCACAATGACAGATATAACAATAAATAATAACTCATGCCACCCTAAAGAACAAAAATTGGCAGCATATTAAAACTGGACACACAGACTTCTCACACTACTACTCAAGAAAAACACTAAAAACAAAGAGTTAAATACTACTCATATTATTAATGTAGCACTAAATAATTATTATAGGAAGGAAGACGTCCTACAACTACATAACAAACACAAATAAAAGAAAAATAATCCAGATAATAAAGCCAAAAAAGAACAAAAATGGGTCACATTTACCTGTACAGGAAATTACATATGGAAAATCACAAAACTATTCAAAAACACCAACATCAAGATAGCCTTCAAAACAGCTCACACCATAGGCAAACTAGTAAATGAAAAACGAGAAACAAACCCCTATGAACAAAGTGGGATATACAAAATAACCTGCCAAAGCTGTCAAAAAGTATACATCGGCCAAACTGGTACAAATCTAATAAGGTATAA